AAATGATGAATTGTGTTTGACATAAGAAGGATATATCAGAAGTCTGACCAAACAGTGTTTTGAAACAGTACAAACATTCCTATCCTTCACTGATTCTAACACTGGTAATTTCTTGCCTGTTACATTTGTACATGTTCAGATATACTGTATGTTTTTTTAAGTTGTTATACTGTAAGAAGTTTAGTAACTCTCTTTCTTCTCAGAAAGGAAATATTTTTTGACCAAATTTTCAGCTAAAGAACTGTTCAAACTGATTAACGATCAGGTTGCTGAACAGACTGTTTACTGTAGTTCATAAAGGGTTGATGTTAACATATGCACTATTTTTATATTGAGCTTCATGTATATTGTTCTGTATTATATGCTGATATATTGAATGCATGGTTATTAATGCAATATTAACGCAAAAACAATAAACCATAGGACTCTTCTGAACTCCAGCTGTTCTAGTACAAGAAAGGTGTTACTTAGAAAATGAAATTAAGATTTGAAATGAACTATTAGGTCTAAAGCACATCTAATGTCTCTTCTGTATGTTAATAGATCTGTTCATTTGTCTTTTATAAATCAATATGTGTGACAATGTCTAGATTATTTTTATATATATTACAGAATTCAATAGTATAAAGAACTATCATGTTTTATAAATAAATTTTTCTGAATCGTTCTTATGTGGTAATCAACTGGACACCCCAGATAATAAAAGCAAGATGTATTTTAACCCAAAATATTCTTTGACATTTTTTGAACGCAATAACGATCAATACACATGTCATACGTGTATTAAGAATGTATATTATTTCTGTGATGGAAGTAGACAAAGGAATGACCACATTGTTTATATTAAAACTTTACTTTTACTACATTCACAGCTATATACCTATTTAACTGACTACTTGTTTACAAAAATAAGCAAATGTTATACAGTTTCCAAACAACACAGCTACATATGCTTTTCATTTTATTGTCAAACGGTACATCAATATAAAACATGCAAATCTGGAGGCAGCGTTTTAAAA